ATTAAAAAAAAAAAAAAAAAAAAAAAAAAAGAAAAAAAAAAAAAAAAAAAAAAAAGTCAACACATTGTAAAAAAAAAAAAGTCCAAAAAATGTAAAAGAAAAAAACGTCGAAAAAAATGTAACAAAAAAATTACAAAAAAAATACAAAAAAAGATTAAAAAAAAGTCAAAAAAAGGTAAAAAAAAAAAGTCCAAAAAAAAGTACAAAAAAAAATGTCAAAAAACATTTCTACAAAAATGTCAAAAAACAGTCAAAAAAAGTCGAAAAAAAATGTAAAAAAAAGGCAAAAATAAAAGGTCAATAAAAAAGGTCAAAAAAAGGGTCAAAACAAAAGGTCAGGAAACTCGAAATACAGCAAACTGAACTGTCTCAACAAAACCAACTGACCTAGCAAATGACACACACACCCACACAGGGGAACATATATACTGGCTGGCCAAACCAATAACACACACAAGGGGTAAACTAAAGACACTACCGAAGGCTTCCTCAGTCCAATCTTTTAGCTGAACTGCCCCCCCCATCCATGGACCAGGAAACATGGTAACTCAAAAGAAAAGGTAAACATTAACAATACAAAATTAATCAAACGTGCATGCTCATTGATCAATTGTGTATGTCTAATATGAATTACCCACCCAAGTCCATGGCTGGTGGTGGTTTAGGTCCTCACATGGTGAAGGCCAGGACTGAGGCCTTCACAATCCCACAGGTGAATCCTTCCAGTGCTGTCCCCTGTCAGTAGTATTTGTTCACTGATATCAGTTGACATAATGGTAATGACTGCACCTTCAACATTCACTGCCTTGAATTTTGCTAACAGATCTCCCTGTTCATGAATAGACCAGGCACAGATGTAGCCATTTTCAGAGGTCAGCAGTGTGGCTGTATTAGCACAGGGCTCCCTCGTCTTCAGACATTTCATAAGAGGTCTGATAGTCACACCTGTCTTAGATTTTGACAGAGCTGTGGCTTTTTGGTGTGGAGGAATCTTTCTGGTGTCTCTGACACTCTTTGCTGTCCTCTCGACAGGCAGACTCCTTTGGCCTTGAGCTGCTTTGGCTGTCATTTGTGTTTCAGGGCTCATACTGGTATTGAGACAGCAGAGAGCCTTAGCTGTATCAGCATTCCAGATAACAATAGTTTCATTGCTGGAGGCTGCAACCAGAGAATTGTTATGTACATCCACTGAGGAAATGTCCTTTAAATATTTGTGCTTGAAGAACCTGTGGTTACGGTTGTTCAGATCCAGGTAAAAAATGACCTTGGAGTTCCTTCCTGATACAAACAACCTGTTTCTGCAGACGATACCTGTCACCTCCTTTGGCACAGTGACAAGAAGAACAGCAAGCTCTGTTCCATTGTTAAAGTTCCACAGTCGGACTTTCCCATCCTGGGAAATTATGATTACTCTGCACTGTGGTCCATCAAATGACATAGCGGTGAGCCCCACATGCTGATCTGGAGTGACCTTAAACTGCAGGATGGCCTTTCCCGTTAAGATATCCCATACTGTCACCACGCCATTCTGGCAAACAGAGACCACCAGTTTGAAAATGCTGCTGTAGAGTGCAGAGCACAGGGGCTTGTTGTGGGATCTTAACATACTTTGAAAAACATCTGTTCCTCTTCCCAGACATTTCCTTATGACTGTATTAGCTAGGAACAGCTCACTATTGTGTGAGTTATAACACACACTGGAGATTGGGGCTTGTGTCATACCGTGAACCTGGAAGCTTTGCCTGCATAGCCAGTCACCTTCAGACCACACGCGCACATTCTTATCCTCAGATAAACTGATGAGTACTTTGTCCAGGTGGTTATACACGATGTGGGTGACTGTTATGACGTGTCCTTCCAAAACATGTACACAGTACGCGGTTTTGTGTGGAAACCACACCCACAGTGAGCCGTCTGTGCCACCAGTTACCAGACACCCAGTAGAAGGGGAGAATTCAACGCAGGTGAAAAACTCATGTCCTGGGTTCTCAATCGGGGAGGATAAGACACATTTTGATACTTCGGCATTGGGTGACACTGGGAGGTCAGCGAGGACCTGTCATGTTTGCTCGGCCGCTCTGCCTCCCTCACCTTTCCTACTGTCTCTTGCCCCATTACTCTTATCACGTTCACCTGTTCCTCACTCCCTTATCACCAGCTGCACTTGATTAGGTCACTCACTATATTACCCGGTTTCACTCCTCAGTCACTTGCCAGTTCTTTCTAGTCACTAGGCCAACTTTGCTCATGCGTTTTTTCATTGTTTTTGTATGTCCTTATCCCCTAGCCAAGCTACTGTTTTGTGTTCTCCCCATGGACTGTTCCTCCGGACCGTGGCTCCACTCTCCCCTCCCAGGCAGGTCAATGCACAGTCGCCTATCTATTCCACTATTGCCTTCATCTCTGTCTCTACCTTCAGTACCACCATCACCGTCGACCAGCCCAGGAGTGACCCCACCTACGCAGCTCGGCCCAGCTCTCCATCTCCTCGCCTCCTGCGGTTGGTCAAACACCCGGCTACTACTCATCTACAGGACTACGTACTATTTCCCTCTGTGTATTGTCACTCCTTTGATCACTATATATAATAAATCATTGTTTGCACCGAAGTCGGCTACCTGGGTCCGCCTCTTTCCTCGTTCGCACACTGACTGGTGCGAATGGCTCCTAACAAGACCAACATGGATGATCTGGCGCAGATGGCGAAGGAGTACAGCTCTGGAATATATTTGATCTGACTGCACATGTCATCAAAGATGTGGGTTTTAATACAGAGAAAGTCTTCAGACTGGTTTTTTTAGCAGGGCTGAAACATAAACGCCTCTAACTTTCTGCTGAAGAATTTTCTCATACGCCTTTTTGAAGAAAAGGCCATTTTTTTTACATTGTAGGAGATAAAAACATACAATTAGCCTTTTATATCTTCAAAAGTAAACACTGCTTTAGAACCATCAGACCAATAGTTCATGGCGCTGACAACGATGTCCTAAAGTATTAAAACATGTTTGAGTGCAAAGTGCCGAGGGAACTTACTGTAATCATAGAATAGCAATTCCCTGTCAAGAGTGGCGATGGCCACTTTGAGTTCTCTGAGGTACACCATGTCAGTAACACGGATTTTCTTGTTATGTGAGAAAGGAAGAGTGTTACTCATTCTGTCCAGTTGAACGGTGTGCTTCATGTCAAAGCTCTCAGACCAGCAGCTGAAGACACCATCGGAGCTGATGGAGAGGTACTGACCTCTCTGGTAAGTCCTGGTTTCTCCTATGAAACACTCAGAACTGTGATCCTCGTCATCAAAGGGACAGAACAACAGACGAAGAATATTTTTATGATGGTTCACAGGTACAATTTCAAAAGGTTTGGGAAAGATTTGATTATCCATTTTTTCTTCTGCCATTTTTTTCTGCAACAGAAAGTCCTGTAGCCCACCATGGCGCACAGAAATGACTACTGCAGCGTGTTCTTTTATGAAGAATAATCTGAGTCAAGTATCACTTTTAATCATTTATTATCACAATCGAATAGACTATCAAATAAAGCAATTTACAGAGCTCTGGCTTCCGTCTCTATCTGAAGCCCTGAACCTAAACAGCAAAACTGTTCAACTCGTCTTCAGGACAAGAGGGAACGCCTACCTGCCTGAAACCCAATGTCTTATACAATTTTGAAATGTGCAAAGTAGGTTGATCTGATGCCTCTCGTGCTGTTTCATTGGTCCCTCAGTCTGTCCATTTCCCAAGGTCCTGCCTGCTCCAGCTGAGGGAAGACAGTTTTCCTAGAGAGGGAGGAAAACCTAGCACTGCCTGTGTGTGTGTGAAAATAGCTATTTTACCAGGCAGCTGTTTCTTCTAGACCAAAATCCGATTATAACTTTGGTGTAAATCTTAGTATCTTATCAAACCCTAACTCCCCTGGCTTCAAAGCTCAGAGGGAATAATGAGCTCTTGTGGAGAGAATGCAACAAACCTAATGGAATCCTGTGGGATGATGAGACCTTGGAAAGTTACTCAGTGCACCAGACTTTCAATCTCAAGGGCCTGTAATATCACACAGTGTCTTTCAATATTCATACAGTAACTTATTTTCTCATCATTTTAGTGAATATATAATTGGGTGAATAGTAACTTCATAAACATATCTGTGACATGTAAGTATGTGAACTTACGTATTCTAAAATATAATCTTAACTATTCCTTTTCTAGTATGATAGAATAGTCATACACAAACAAAGTGATCACACAGGTTAAATGAACAACAGTCATGGTGTCAATCTTCTACTAAATAAGTACTTAATTCAATCAAATGTTAGAACCAATCCTAGAGTATAACTTTGTTAATAATTTTACCCAACACTACAGTTTGTGTCAATCTTCATGTAAAGGGCAGCGAGGTCGTCTTCACTCCCATAACTGCATACTTGCTTCATTGGAGCAACAAATTCCATCATATTCAGTCCCCCACCTTTAACACTTTCAGCTTCTTTAAGTATCCTCTCAGTCTCCTTAAAATTTATATCTGTAAACAGTTTGTCTGTGCTTGTAACTTCATCTGGCATAATATCTGCATGTATATCCATTATTGCTTCAATTAAAGCAAATAAGAAGATATTAGCGTAGATAATGTTAGTGCTGATTGCAGCTGTTTAAGTAGTGATTGAGTTGTTTAAGTGAAAGAAAGAACTTGCAAACTCCTAATGCGTGGACTGAGATCAAAGCCACTTTAGTCTATAGTGTCATCAAAATATTCAATTAAAAACACTCAGAACTGTGACCCTTGTCACCAAGGAAGACAGAACAACAAACTTTTTATTTTTTACTGACCTATGTAGTGAAGGAAATATGATGATGGAGCCAAAAACAAAAAACATACTGACACAACATGACAAATTACTCATTTGGATCCCAGAACTGGTCATTCAAATGGTTAAAACACTTGGTGGTAGTAATGTCCGATCTACTGCATTTTGTCCGGAAGCTACAGCACGCCATCACCATCTACAAACACATGTCGAGCTGCACGCACACCCGATCCGATTGGCTCTCGCATTTTACCAATCACTCCACACGTTTCCTGCGTATCCTTCCGCGTCGGCCTCAGTTTTACACAATCCCTGACGTTCCACAAGGGTAATATTGAAATAAAATAGATTGGGTATGCAAGCAGTGATGAATGTGGTTGATACAAAGGTCCTAAGACACCGTGTTCCCTTTCATTTATCTCTAGTATGTCGGATGGATATACTTCAGCATCCCTAGAAAGTAGTTCCGCAACGTGAGGGACTAGGAGATCACCTTGAGCTGGTTTGAGTTTAAAGTTACATCGGTCCAAGCAACTGTACCTCGATTTAAGGTGGGTGTTTTCGATAGGGATTGCAGCTTGGTCGTATGTTAGCTATTATTTAAACTGACCCGATAGCTAGTAAGACACTTGAGTTGTCACATTAGTGCCTTATACATCGTTTTCGTCTTTTATTATTTCTGTAGCTAGCCTTACATCCCATGAGCTGGTAAGTCATGAGTCACTCGCTGTTGGCTTGTTTTTACCCTTAGTTGTTATGTCACAGTTATATATTAAGCAGTGGAAATACGCCTGGATGTATGTAATTAGCATTAACTAAGATAAGCTCTACGCAGACCAAGTATGTGCAATTAATGAATGGATAAATGTAGGGCAATTTATTCGTGCACTGGGCCGCTCTTTCATTTGATAACTGTTTAAACGTTGTAGTCTTGTTTAAATTGTAGCTATTATATCTAAAGTAACGACATTAATTGTGAGTCTTTAAATGCGGAACGTTAAAGAATCGCTTCCTGTTGCTTCTTGTTGTAGGTGTGGCTGCTCCGTATTCTCGGCTTCCCATTGGTCAGTGGCCGTTGTGTCTCTAGATCAGGAAAATGTGACGCAGGATGAGAACGTGACCTTTAGCGCATCGCCTGCATGTATTTCACAGTATTATAACAAAATATTGACACGATTAAACTGATTGTATAAATGCAGCAGAGCTACCCCCGCCCGCTTTATTAAAAGTAGCATGTAATCGACGTCTTCCTTAACACGGCAAATAGAGTCGCGATAAATTCAAGTTGATCCGTTAATCGACATTTCCCATAATTTTCCTCCAGAAACAGTTTAGTTAAACATTAACCTCGTTAGTTGTGTAGTAGGAAATAAGTGTTATTATGTAGTTTGAAATGTGTACATTCCCCTAGCAGCTTAGCTGCAATGGCTTTCTGCGATGGTGCAACAGACAATTGGCCAGGTTGACACTGGATACAAGGTCGATCTCACCTTTGACAGCTGTAACAGGGGCATTCTTTGTTTGTGATTACAATACCCTGTTTGCAGGGCCTGCAGTATAGCCTGCATTGCATGGACCTATGTTGGCGTGAGAAATAATGGAAACTGGAAGCGCTGCATCACAAAATGGCGTCTTATTCCCAAGAGAAAAGTCAGGTCATAATGTCAGTGACTACAAATTCTGTTTTAGTGATGAGCTCAATAAAAGAGGTGCACAGTGTCTGTTGGATACCTGACTCTAGACTGTTGACTAAGAAGAAGATTATTTTTTTTCCCATGTAGTTCTAAACCTTGCTCATTATAAATTATCCCTATAGTAAAGTCCCCAGTAAAATCACTGCTACTTAACAAATATGACTCATGAGTCTTTAACCTGGTAAATACAGATTCTGGAACTTATCCTTATGTACTGCTGGTGGTGACATAACAGCATGTTAAGTATACACTGTTAAACTAATTCAGTGTAGTAGACTAGGCCTTTGCTGCTGGCACTGTTCCCATACACTCTCCCTGCTGCATGTTTGCTGGCATGGGGTGGAACACAACCAATTATGGCCACTCGTATGTCACTACAGACGTACTCACAGCACCGCCCAATGTCTTTGCACTCAGTTTGATGTAAGGGGCTGTTGATGTTAAAGATGTAGTCAAAGGGCTTATTTGAAATGTATTTAGTATGCGCACCCTTCTCTGGCATTCATTCACTTAATCTCATGTAGTACCCCAATTAAGTTTTGTGTTGCAGTTTACAGGCCTCCATAGTTTAAGTACCACTGTACATACTGTGCATTACATTTTTACAAACAGTCTTTGCTGCATTGCTATTAGTCAAGATTCTGTTTTTAAAATTGGAGAGTTGTATGACTTAGGCTGACACAGGACAAAGGATTTATTGCTTCAGCAATTGTATACATAGCATTATTTTTGGACATGAACAGTAACTGGTTTGTAGTCTGCATATTGGTTTTGGTCAAGAGCAACGTGGACTCTAATGGGAGTTGCCTAAAATTTCATCTCTGCCTTTTCCTTTAAGATAAATGTGCATCCTCTTTTAGTTTTGCAATTGCAACTGTCATTATTGCATTGTCTTCAGAATTGCATTAAATTGTGAATTTGTGATAACTAGCATATGTAATGCTCCAATGCCAGATGAGTTAAGCAGCAAATGTCACTAAACTGGTCTAAACACTTCATTATCCTTTTTTTATTCTTTAGTCAAATGCCTTTCATGAGTTACTCATAATTGCTCTTGCAATGATCCATCTCTTTTATTGTGGTATTTATGTGAACATTTTATGAGGGCTGGCCAATGTAGCATATATAGTTTCTTCAAAAAATATGCCTATACTTTTAATGAAAAAAATTTCCAGTAACTGCCAATATAACAATACTCATCTTTCCCCTCTGCAGTCTTTTCCCTGTGGTTCAGCCCACTCATGTCTGCATTTGGTGTGTACTGCAGTAGTAGGATGTGACTGTGCTCACGTAGGGCACCGGTCTGCCCCACTGACTCAAATGTTACATAATTGGTGAGCAGTTCCTATTGCAGGAGCCTGTTGATATAGCGGCTGTGCCTGGAATGCCCCACCATGATGCATTTGTAATTAGGGTGTGATGAGTAAGAAGAAGTCAGACTGCTAGTTTTGATGCAGCAGATTTTCCCCCGAGAGACTAACTCTGGTAGACGGTTATGAATGTGTCTTCAGTTGTAGTTGCACCACCCACCCATGCAGCCACCAAAGATTTTCCATCTTCTGTGTTCCAGCTCTCTTTTTAGAGTGCAACCTTAGTCTTTGTAGCCACTTTGTAATGGTGATGTAGAGGCATCCTTGGCAATTTTCACCGGCTGACGCAGACCAGACCTGTTGCAATAGAAATAAAGAACAATTTGTTCTTATTTCTGTTCTCACTGACATTAAATTTACTTAACATTGTAGACACCTTAGCAGGGTTTAGATATATACTGCGTCATGTTTAGGCTAGGGCCACCCTCAGGGTTAGTAATTCAGGCTAGAATGAAGCTCAAACCTGATGCTTGAATCACATATTTCTGTAACTCATCATTAGGTTGAGTCACACTTGTCTGCTGTACTGTAGTTATATAACCAGAGCCTTAGAGAAGCAATGCTACACCCTGCTCAAAACACCTACTTTGCAGACAGTTTGAAACATGCCTTGCACAATTCTCTCATTCAACTGACTGAAGGGAAATCAGGAAGTGCCTCAAGCAAGGCACACATCAGTATACTCTGTACATGGCAGTATTAAGCCATTTAGAAGTGCAAAGGTTTTGTTGCAATTTCTCTTCTGTTCAACCATGTTCAACCCCCCCCCCCCTTTTCTGGCTACAAAGATGTGATGAAAGACATTTCAGCCCTGTAGATGAGCTTCTTGATGGCATTGTTGCACGGATGGCGCAGGGGGAAGGGGGTTGAGGGAGGTCAGAGTATACAACATGGGGTACATCCCATTTCCCTTATTTGGTCATTCCACCCTCCTTGCTCAACCCGGAAGTCCTCACATCTTATGTGGGCGGGATTAAGACACAAGGAAAAGATAGAAAGGTAATGTGTTTAAGGGAATTGTGATTTGCCCACCATAAGGTGAATCCCAGTTCCCCTAACTGCATTCATGTTTCCCTCACTTGTGTATTCTCCTTGCATCTTAGTCCTGCCCACACAAGATGTAAGGAAAAACTGAGGAGAGAGGTACCAAGGAAACATGTTTTAACTGACATGAAATGACCTTTCCTCTGATGCTTCATGAGAAGCATCCGATCACAAACCGATTTCTGATAAAGGGGTGCAGCTGTCTCTAACGGACATCTGTGAAGGATGCACTTGTGTGTCCTTGGTTATAGCTCCTCCAGGCAGCCTCCTCACTCTTCATTCCATTGCTACTCAGAACAGAAATTAGTTTTGGGACGTCCTCATCATCGTGGCTGACTGGATTGACTTCCAGGTCAAGCAAGGATCAGGGACTGAAGAATGATAAAATAATGGAATGGGATTCACCCATATACTATTCTTTCCAGTAGTATAGAATACTGCATGGAGACGAAAATCAGATTAAGTTTCTAAACTTATCATTGCATAAACTTTATGACTGTAAGATCTTGAAAAGTGTAAAGGAATCCAGGACCCACAGTGGTCAACAGAAAACTGTTGGCTGCCTTCATTGCACCCTCTAAACAAACTTAATTGTTTTCAAATGTTCTTTCAGGTCTTCTCCAGTTGCACCAGTGATCACCATGCCTCAGACAAAATCTCAAGACATGGGCTCTGCCTTCATCCAGACACAGCAGCTAAGCGCTGCCATGGCTGACACCTTTCTGGAGCACATGTGCCTGCTGGACATTGACTCTGAGCCCACCACTGCACGCAACACTGGCATCATCTGCACCATTGGTTGGTCTATATTGTTGGTCAGCACAGTCAAAGACAGATAAACCTGTACTTTTACTCTAACATAAGTAAACATGCCTTCCACTAGGTGTGTGAAACTGCACTGAGCAATAACAATGAATTCAAATCAAATTTTATTTATTTATTTACAACAACAAAGTTATACCAAAGTGCTTCACAATTGTGGAAACTATTTCATGAAGAAGCAAATGAGACAAACGTATCCAGTTATGTTCTGTCATTAACCATCTACAGGGCCAGCCTCTCGTTCTGTGGATTTGCTGAAGGAGATGATCAAATCTGGAATGAACATCGCTCGCATGAACTTCTCCCATGGCACACACGAGGTGAGATTTTCCATAATTCATTTCTCAGTGAGCAGGGCAGCTACAGCCAACCACTCAGGCAGTTAAGTCATGTTTAAACTGTGCTGACAATTGATCAAACATGGCTTTGTGCTTTATCAGTTTTAAGAATTCAGGGCCTCTATTGTTTAATAATTTGAGAGGCAAACCTACAAATGGCAATGTGAATGACAGTTTTGTACATAAAAACCTTTTTTGATTTAGATTTTCTCAATTATTTCTTAATGCTGGTATTTACAAACAATGTCACTGCATTAACAGATGTGAAGCATGAATGACACTTAAAAGTAGAAGTATCCATGACTGTGGGTCAAGGAATTTCAGCGAGATCAAAGGGAGAACTATAAAAAAGCCAGAGATTTGTTGGCTTGCTAGACTAAATGCATCATGTGTAGCTTCCTGCAATTCCTTTATCTCCTCAGCAGGCAACACACCTAGACTAGCGTGTACACAAACGAACACCAAGGTCAGCCCACTTTTGACCAAAGTGGGAAGTGGAAAGCAGGCTATGTTGCAAATCCAGAAAATCGCATTTCTTTAAACCAATGTGAATAACTTGAAATGAACGACACCTACAAAAGAGAATATTATATTATGTAAAAAAAATGTATTGTGAATGTATGATCCCTGACCTATAGTCAAATACTCCATATACACTACATGTTCTGCCCAACGCTGTAGCACACTGGACGCAGCCAAGATGTCATCTATCCATTTATTTCCTGGCTTGACATCAGGACACTTCAACTTTCTGAAACTACATTTTCAGAAGGCTGCATTTCAAACCATTTAGCTTAGAATTTGTGAGACCTAAACTAATTGCATTTTGAAGTGTTTCGACAACTTAATTAAAAATCAGTTTTCCTTTAGTCATGGTGTAGTGAGTTGGTCATAATGTAGTTCAGTGTGTTACTTGTGTGCAAGGCAGCCAATGTGATTTATATGTCACTTAAGTTATTAATGAAAGCTGTGGTTGCCCAAGTGGGCAGCATAACCCATGTGCAGCAGGCAGCTGTCATCAGAGCCACAAACACTATGCTGTGTTCAGGAGCCTGCACTAATGGGCAAAGAAGGCTGCATCAGTATCATGACAGGACTGAATTTCTCTGAAGTTTGCTCCCAGCATTTCCCACAGTATATTTCTAGCCAACACTGGACACCTTAACGAACACTGTGATAGACGGATATGTTTCCAGGATGAAAGTGTCTGTTCATGGTAGAAACAGTATCAGACCATACGAGTAATGGCTTTACACAAGTCTCTTTAGTAGTCTGTGTACATTTTAATTTGTCGTTCCATTTATTGCATGTGGTCTCTTTTTTTCACCACCAGCTTCAGTAAGATATTTACTCCCAGGAAACTGAACTTCAGCTGAGTTCCTTTTAATAGGCAACTTTACGCAACAGATATTTCAGTTATTGCAAGTGGTGTTTCATCATAACAAAATGTGTACTCAAGGACGCATGCTTAGGATGACATTGTGTATCAGTATGTTGCTACTCTGCCTGATACTGTATGATATGTAATATTGACATTTATATTATCTAATGACAGTTGACAAGGCATTTTAACTTGATTGCTCTGTTGTTCTGCTTGGTCTGTCAGGAAAACTGTTCGACCCAGCAGTGATGCCGACACTATGTCTAGTATTTATGACTGTGTTTGCCTTTTCTATCTGGTAAAAAAAATCAATTTTCCTTACAATAACTGTCAGTGTGACTAGCAAAATCTGGTTTATTTTCATTCCAATTTGTGTGCTAGCAGCAGAAGAGTGGATCAGAAGAGATCACAGGTTTGATCAGAATCAGTAACTGGGTCCTTGAGTATGTAATGGTTTATTTTGCTTAGGGCTGTTACTTTAGACGTATTTCATATGTGATACAATGTTATTCTTTTCTGCAGTACCATGCACAGACCATCAAGAATGTACGTGAGGCATGTGAGAGCTTTGAGCCTGGCAGCATCCACTACAGGCCTATCGGCATTGCCCTGGACACCAAGGGCCCAGAGATCAGGACTGGCCTCATCAAGGGAGTGAGTCTCAGTATCACTTGTCGGCGTTCTTCACACTACAGCAGTAGTCATTACAATGAGTTTAGTAGCTGTTGTTGACAATCAAGAATGTCTTGTGCATGAAAGTAAATCTCTGTTAATGATTTATCAGAGTGGCACAGGTGAGGTAGAGCTGAAGAAAGGTAACATGATCAAGATTACTTTAGATGACACCTACCAGGAAAACTGCAGCGATGAGATCCTCTGGCTCGACTACAAGAACATTACCAAAGTAGTTGAGGTTGGCAGCAAGATCTACATCGATGATGGACTTATGTCCCTGCAAGTCAAAGAAATTGGTGAGTGGTGTTGAGAAACATATACATACACTAAATAAAGTCAGCCCTGTTTATAAATTAAAAAAATAAGTTTCTTTTGGTCTGTTGGGACTTTGGTAGACACTGCCTCAGATTGGAGTTTTTCAATATTTTCTTGTCTCTCCAGGCTCTGATTTCCTTATGTGTGAGATTGAGAATGGTGGCACCCTGGGGAGTAAGAAAGGAGTGAATCTCCCCGGTGCTGCTGTAGACCTGCCTGCTGTTTCTGAGAAGGACATCCAAGACCTGCAGTTTGGTGTGGAGCAGGGAGTCGACATGGTCTTTGCCTCCTTCATCCGCAAAGCAGAGGACGTACATGCTGTCAGAGCAGTGCTGGGAGAGAGAGGCAAAAACATTAAGATCATCGGCAAGCTGGAGAACCACGAGGGTGTGCGCAGGTGTGCATATTTATTAAATGTGTCCATCTTCTTTTTGCATGAGATCCAGTAATTCTGGTCTTTTGTTTGTTGTGTTAAAAATTCTGTGAAAGCAAAGTTCAGCTGTTAAGGGCATGTGAAAGAGGTTTCTTAATACTCCTAACATACTGGCAGTTGTACTTGATCTAACTTGGTTGTATGTTCTAACACTTGTGCAGATTTGATGAGATCATGGAGGCCAGTGATGGCATCATGGTTGCCCGTGGTGACTTGGGTATTGAGATCCCCACAGAAAAGGTTTTCCTGGCTCAGAAGATGATGATTGGTCGCTGCAACAGAGCTGGCAAACCGATTACATGTGCCACTCAGGTCAGAAAACAGCAATGGTCACACTACATTTCTTAAGGTTCATTTCCCCCAGCGGCTAGAGTTCATTTAGACTGGCAGATGAGAGGCTGTACAGGGCAGCTCTATGTGAAAATAAAGTGGGCAGTCATAGTTTAATCTTCTAAGTATATAACATTAATGTCAGTTTGGTTTATCACTGTGTTGGGCTGAGGTTTGTTCATGCTCTCTTCTGAACCCTTCCCATGAACACCATTCAGATGTTGGAGAGCATGATAAAGAAACCCAGACCCACCCGTGCTGAAGGCAGCGATGTAGCCAACGCCGTGCTGGATGGAGCTGACTGCATCATGCTCAGTGGAGAGACCGCCAAGGGAGACTACCCTCTAGAGGCAGTTCGCACACAGCACATGGTGAGTTAAATTAATGTATGGTACACATACAGTTCTGCAACAATAGAAAACAGAAAATCAAAGCATTAAGTGGTATTTTAAAAAGATGTTTGTTTGATGATGCATGGCTTTTAAGTCTTTTACATGCCTTTAAAATGTCTTGTATTACAGAAGAAAAGATTAGAAGTTACTGGGAGATTACACTTTCTCATTTCCTGATTTTTGTGTTCTTCTGAACACATCTATTACTTCTCATTCAGATACGCATTGATGTGACATCTTTGTGGATGGACTCTTTTGACATTTGGGTCCATCCAAACTGAAGTAAATGCCTGTCGCCTGCACCACCTCTGCTAACAAATTTATTGTGGCTGCTTGTCTTAGCCAGTTTGCTCTGGTATCCCCAGATAGATCTACTTGCATTCTTGAGTAACAATAAAACTAGTGAACAGGGAGCATGAGCAGCCATTTAGAGTGATGCCAAACTCAGAAATTACACATAAAGCCCTGTAAGAACAGTTTTTGAGGAAAACGTGAGCCTTTATAGTTTTTCTTTTTTCCTCCCCAGAGACAGACAAAACACCTGTCTAAAGTATTAAACACAAGGCTGTTAATAATTAATTCTTGGTGAATGCTTGCAACAAAACCACAGTTCTGAATTGCATGAATGGATAATGCAGCTAATGCTGTCTTGCCTGTCTCTCACTGCTCAGGCCTTTCTTGACTAACCTCCACTGTTCCTTGGCTGCACTTTGCTAGTTGCATTGCTATGCAGATACAGAAGTGACTCAGCAGTCCTACAGCTCACTGCCCCTATGCTGAAACTGCATGGGGTGCCTCATAATCCATAGATAACTTCCACTGAGCTAAAACCAGCCGTATTTGAGTAGAACAGATTCACATGAACTAAGCGACTTTTGCTGTCAACCATTGCTTTTCCTCATTTACTTCAGTTTCTAATGCTTTTCTCGTTCATTCTTGGTCACTGTTTTTAATCATTTCTTCACCCTTTGTGCAGTGTGTGGCTTCAAGTCACAAGCCAGATTTTTTATAAATATAGAAAATATATTACATGAGTTCTATAAATATACTGTGTGTATATGTCATTTATTTTGTAACTTTATTTTATCAGGCCCAACTCTGTCATTTGATCTTTTGTCATTAGAGTTTATTCATCTGGAGGTTAAGGAGTCCTTTTTAAAAGCTTATGGCAGTGCTGCAGTTACCTTAACTCAAGTTGTATTATCCTATTTTTACATGTAATATCATGTAAAAGTTTGTGGTAAACTTTTGACTCTTGAATATGTTTTTAATGTTGATGTTTCCCTGTGTCACCCCACCAACTGCACACCTCATCTCATCAATTCACTGTACCCTGTCCCTTAATTTCTGCTTTTCTTGGGTCTCTTTAACATTCTCTCTCTCTCTCTCTCTGTTTTCCATTTTCTTTTTTCCACTCCTTTTCCATCTGCGTGTGCCTGGTGTGGGAATGCCTTTGCTTGATGCATCTTGCCCTCACTGCTGCCAGATCGCTCGTGAAGCTGAGGCAGCCATGTTCCACCGGCAGGTGTTCGAGGACCTGCGTCGCTCTACGCCGCACTGCAAAGACCCTGCTGAGGCTATTGCAATCGGCGCTGTCGAGGCCGCCTTTAAGAGCCTAGCCTCTGCGATCATTGTGCTCACGGGCTCTGGAAGGTAGGCAGGTTATCAGGTCCTGGCAGTTTAAGGACACTGATACTGGTATTCAAGAAGCCTGAAATAGGTAGAGTAGGGTCAGGCAGGGATTGGCTGAAGAAACGGAGGTCCTGGCAAACACTTTAAGTGGACACCTGGTAAACACACTTTAAAGAGCAAAATGCTTGTGTAAAAATGTAGAAATGTATACATTAACCCAATAATTCTGAGGTTTTAGGCCTCCTAATTTGTGTCGGTGCTTAAAGGAACACTTAAAGGGCCATTATTTACCCAAGAACTATACATAACCAGGTGTCTGTCTCAGTGTTTGCCAGTCACTCCCAGTGGTGTGTGTGTGATTGAGAGTAACCCCAGCCCTTCCCTCGCGGTCCTTTGGGGCTCAGATAGCACGAGAGGCCGAAGCAGCGACCTTCCACAGACAGCTGTTCGAGGAGCTGAGAAGACTCTCCGATCTGACCAGAGACCCTTCAGAGGCCACAGCAATTGGGGCTGTTGAGGCATCCTTCAAATGCTGCGCTAGTGGCATCATTGTTCTCAGCAACAGTGGGAGGTAAGAAAGAGAAGGATGGAGCTAAAATGATCCTAGTCCTAAAGGTAAGGTGTTGCCAAGTATGTGCTAGCCTCTCCAGTACAACTCTGATTCACCCTCCAGCACCTAATGTGCTCTTGCAGATCCCTCTCCTTTAATTTTGTGTGTGTGTCTGTCATGTACTATTACTCAGGGTATGTAGGGAGAGCAGTAATTTCAAGAGTGTCATTAGCCCAGTTCCAATGTCCACCTGCTACTGAATATTACTTGTGGTTCAGTGAAAATGTTTCTTGAGGAATCATTACTTGGGACTTTTTCTCACCAACTAAAGCAATGCAAGGCTCCCATTTCCTGAGATTAAACTAGACAGCACTCGGAGTGCAAACCTGCCAAAGCAGCTCGCTGTCCCCAGAATGCCATTCCACCAAAAAAAACAATATTCCCATGAACCTCCCCCCCCAGCATTTAGAATTACATTGATATCATTAGTTTGAAACAATATTTCAGTCATGTTGGTTTTCTTCGGGATGTCGCTCAGGAAGTTTTGAAGATTCATTGAATCTGTTGACACCCTACTACGGCAGCAGAGTTCCAGCTACAAATTGATGCAGCTTCATGACATTGGCCCTGTCTCACAATGGTGAAGAATCTTTTCAAAAAATATCTGGGTAAGGGTGATGATCCAGATCACCACCAAAATCTAATGGATACCCTACTGCTCCAAAAAACTGATTACTTTTTGAGTTGTGCTGTGAACAAACAGGTAAAAACTGGATACTTTCTGGCTTCCTCTGACACCCTTGTTTTTACATCACTGTTATTAGTTGTGGGTAGTTACCTTGACAAAATCAGCACTATAGGCTCAGAAATGTTTCAGTGGGACAGCCTTGATTTGTTCAACAGGAACACAAATCAAACACTTGGTGTTTGAGCATGGACATCTGGATTGGGTCCCTGACTGTCTAAATCAACCAAAATATCAGAATATTTAAGGTGTGGAAGATTTCAAATCATATGTTTCTTCCAAGAATTAATGGGGGTTAATTTACCCATTTTAAAACAATAGGGTTAATGACTTGCAGCTAAAATGTTAAGCTTAAGGTTTTATGCAATATTAATCTTCAGAATCACCAAGATTAACCAGTTGTTGTGCATACTTGAATCAGGCATGTTTGCATAATATTTTAGCATTAAATTTGGTCTGCCCTTTCCCTCCATAATTATATTTATTTGGTCATACAAAATGTGAATGAATTGAGGTAAACTTGTGCTCAGCTGTGTTCATGCTGGTGTTTGTGCAGGTCCGCCCATTTGATCTCCAGGTACAGGCCCCGTGCCCCCATCCTTGCTGTGACCCGTAACGCCCAGACAGCTCGCCAAGCTCACCTGTACCGCGGCATCTTCCCTGTACTCTACACCAAGCCTGCTCACGACGTGTGGGCAGAGGATGTCGACATGCGTGTCAACTTTGCCATGGATATGGGTAATGCTTGGCAACAGACATTTACAATTTTGCACCATTATGTCACTATGCAGTATTATATTGGCATGTATATTTCAACATGCATAACAATGTCGGCAATAATACCTTTTGCTGTGGACATCTGATCCAGACACTAACAGAATTAAATGTTTAGCTAAATGGTATATTTTAAATTTTCAGGCAAAGCCAGAGGTTTCTTCAGAGAGGGAGATGTTGTCATCATCTTGACTGGTTGGCGCCCAGGCTCTGGTTACACCAACACCATGCGTGTGGTTCTGGTAGCCTGAACAACAAACAGAGCTGTACTGCTTTCTCTCTCTCTCTCTCTCTCTCTCTCCATCTTTCATAGCTCTCAACCCCAAACTCCACTTCTGCTCACAGCCCTTCTCATCTATCCCCCAGCTCACAGATGTAACATCCTGAATTTAGAATTTAGGCAATGAAAAATAAAATAGAGTATAGCTTGATAGCCAGAGAGCTGTTTTGGGTGGAAGTTGAGGCTTGTTCTGTACAATTCCACTTTTTCCTCCATTCCTTTCACACCACTTAATCAGATGAGTGTTCGGGGCCTGAGATTAACACTCCCTGACCAGAAACTGCTGTATTTGTTCACTCACGCTTGTATAATTTAAAAGTGAAGCAATCGAAGAGTGAGTGCATCCTGGTCTATGTGCATACTGGTGCTCGTTGAGGTGGGGTTGGTGGTGGGTCAGACTGATGTTAGCACCTTGAGTGCTGTAACAGTTTACTAATCACACTCATCTGTTGACTGAATGAACAAAGTGGCATGGTCAATCAAAAGGCTCCTCCTGCAGCGCAGCCTTGGCTCCACCATTCCACTTAAACAGATCTTTGCGTAGTGCTGTCTGTATGAAGTGTCCTCTGTTAATGCCAGCTTTCATTGTATTTTAGTGTATCTGTAAATGCTGCATTCCTATTCTACTCCAGACAGTGTTCCATTCTATGTAACACCAAGTCAAGTATAAACTTCTGTTAATGGTTAAGTTTTGTTATGGGACATTTATTCTACTTAAATTTTGTTTGACTATGGAGAAATGTTAGTTTTGGAAGTCCACTCAGAGGGGTTTAAGCTAGTTGATATGTATATTAGATGAGTTATAAAGCCTTTACATATATTTGCATTTGGATCAGATGTACTGTAAGTTGGCATTTGTGAATCATGCATGGTTCACCCAAGTTGATGATATGAATGAGCACGTGACCCCACCTGTCACTGTCCTAGTGAGTGATGGGTTTCTCTCCCTACACTGGTGACCTACTGTAGCTATCTTCATGTCTCTAAAATGCTTTTGATTGTAAGATCCAACTAAATGGAGAGGGGTTTTATGTTTAAGTGGTTACTGAGCTATCCAATGAGACTGGATTTCCATCAATAAAAGAGATGAGCATTGATCTTTGCCTGTTTCTTTGATGCCAAGTTATCATGAATTTAGGTGCACTTTTGTGTAAAGGTTTATAGGTGTTACTACAGTAAATAAACATTAAGGATTCAGGTGAAAACCTCTGGAGTGACTACATTAATCCTCTAAAAAGGGTGAATACAAAGTCCAGATCGAACATGAATACCAACTGATTCTCAGTAATGAACTTGTTTTATTCAACAAGGGAATCCCAGTTTGGGTACATGTGGAAACATTTACTGGTAGTCCTGGCTGTACACAACCCCCACCTGCCTACGGATCTCGTCCTCTAGCTCAGCCAGCAGAAGAGAGTCGGCATGAGACATAACTGCACTCTCCTTCAGTCCTACATGGGGAAAAACACACTTAAGAATACATGGTGTACTGTTAAGTCTGCACACAGTAAATGCCCATTGGTGTTTGTTTTTTTTATATGCCACCTTGTGTTGAAAGTGTGTTTAACAGGTGTAATAAAATTAGGTCTGAACATTCAGAAATCCATTCAAATATGTTAGTTTTTTTGGGTAATTAATTACTCAAGATCTATACAGACTAACATCATACCTTTGAGCAAACACTGTCGAACCTCCTCTGCTTCATAACGCAGCCCTGTGCTGTTGAGGAAGTTGAGAGGCAAATAGGGTTCTGGCAGTGGGTACTGGGTCTCCTTCCCATTTACCTCTAATGATGTGGGGCACCACATGTGCTGACGAACCTATTTAAAAAAAAAATGCAACAGGAAATCTTCACAGCAATGACAGTAAGGGAATACAAAGGATATATCATGTGTGCAATAAATATAGTTTAACATTTTTGTGTTAACTGAAATGAGAATCTGCACAGACAAATATCTTCACAACTTTCCTTCCTGAAATCCTAAACAGATTATCTCAGTTCACTTACCAACTTTAAATTTTATATTAAAGATGCAAATGTCCACTGGGAAAACTGGTATTCCATTTCAGACTATTCAGCCCTGCTGTGATGACCTACCCTGATTGTGCCCTTTGTGCCCACAATAAGAGCATCATTGGGCAGCTTCATACCCAAGGAGCAAGTACACACAGCAATTCTGTTCTTGGAGAACTTCAGAGTGACAACCACAGTCTCATCCACTCCTGTAACAATACAAAATATATATAGTGGCATGGCTGCAATATGCAGACATAAAATGCAATATAAATGGTTGTTGTAGTGTCTTCTGTGCATCCACTGCAAACAAAATGTCAAGTCAGTAAATTGTACCATATTGTAGATTTCAGAATAATATATGACTACAACAATAGGCACCTGTACTATGAAACTTTTCATTGTGCTAGTAATTACATAAAAGAAATGGCTAAAACTTTTTAAAATCCAAGTTAAAAACCCATCTCCAAATAAATGTATACCATCGAGGTCAACGATCTTACTAGTGTCACAGTGTGTGTGTTGTATTTAAAGAAAAGAGAAAGCAGTTTTGAGGAGGATGACTTCACCCTTCACCAAGAAGCATGTTTCTTTACTCTTAAGACTGACACCATGTCAGTAGAATATTTACGTGTCACAGTGAGAAAAGCCCAGAATGAACAAGTTATTTTCACCACTGCTGGTGAACCCATGTCACTAATACTGTGCATAGCATTATTGTGTAAGTACAACACTGGAAGTTAATGGACTGGTAACTCAATGATTTGATGCCAGTGCATTGGAAATTATATTTGAGACTTCACTGGCCTATTTTTACATACCTGTCTCCAGGCAGACCCCCGTGGCTTGTATGGACTCTGGCTTTTCTCCATTGTACACCATGCATGTGAACTGCAGGCAGTAGATGCCAACATCTAATAATGCTCCACCACCCAGCTCCTTCTGCACGGCTCTCGGTATGTGCATCATTGGCCAAGCAAACTCTGATTTTACCATCTTCACCTCACCCACCTCCCCCTGAGCCAACAGCCTTCTGATCTCCACAGAGGCCGGAAAAAAACGGGTCCAAACAGCCTGAGGCGAAGAACAGGATGCATCTCATACAGTTGCATTTTACGTGCATAAGCCATCTTTTTTTTGTCTTTGTAGTCTGATCCATCCATACCTCCATGAGGAAGACATCATTGGTCTTGGCAGAGGCAAGGATCTTCTGAACCTCCTTGATGTTCATGGCCAGTGGCTTCTCACACAGAATGTTCTTCTTGGCATTTGTAAAGAGCAAACAAGTGCTCAGATGGTAAGGGTGGATAACTCCAACATACACTACATCTGTGCACACACAAATGGACAGGTCAGAGAGAACATGAGAAACTAATCTGTCTATAAAAATGTGTGTAACAATGAAACATTAACAGGAAATAAAAACTGACACAAACTGAACTGGACATTAGTGAAGATTTTCTATGGGGTTTTGCTCTAACTGAACTGTTTTTAGGAAGCAAACCTCTCCAAAGCAGAAATAAAAACAAATGCTAAGAGCCACGAGCCAATCAAAATTGACCCAGAAATTCTGACAGAAACTGACCAATGTCTGGATCTCTGGCCAGCTCCTCATAGCTGCCGTATGCTCGGGCGATGCTGTGCTTTTTTGCAAACTCCTGTGCATCCTCTAACTTGCGAGCTGCCACAGCCACAACCTGTGAATAATGTTTCAAATGATTATTCCCACTTTACTAACAAGTAACACTACAGTCTATGTTGTTGGAGTGTATAATCCAATGCTGACATGAAGGCTTAAGTCTGACTGTTGAATTGGTGTGGGCAAATATTTCAAAATAAATCAATTAGCACTTTATTCCCGAAATTAGCCAGTATTCATTTTGGAGAATGAGACTCTAGATTTAATTTAAGTTTTTAACTTTCCAATGTTGCATTTATATTTTTCTCTTTACATAAAACCGAAACGTATATATATATATATATATCACCAAGTACATGTTACCATTAGAAGTAAGTGAGAAAAATGTTACACCATACACGTTTTTTGGTAATTTTAGTGAACTGATCCATTAAATAACTTTGAGGCTCAGAGGCTAACAAACCACTCGGCTCAGGTCAACTGAATAAAATCAGTTGTTTTTGTTTCCTGTGCAGTCATGTGTCCTCATCAGACACAAACGATTCACATGACATGCAGCCTTCTTGTATGCAAACACACACAAATTCACACATGCACCATCAGTAACTCTTGATATAACACTTGTGAAAGTTAATCAACTTTCCACTGATTACCTTCAGGTTTCATTCATTGAAATAATATAATCCACTTATATTTCTGACTGGTATGTCAGCCACAATTCAGTCTGTGCCTCTGAGCCCCCAGGCTAAATTCCAGTGAGATGCTCTGAATGCAGTTATATAAATGAGTGGAGGTTTTGTCCCTGTTCTACAAAGGACCTCAGGTCATCTGCGCCATTCACTTGTTTGCTTTTGGGGGGTGCTGGCTTCCAGCTACAGCAACTATCTTGTTTTCTTTTTCTCTTGGTCTCACACTAACCCTGTTAACCTATATGGACTGGACTGTGTTTTGTTTGTGTACTGAGGTAACACATCCAGATCAACCAAATAAAAGTGTGCAATTATAAGATGGTTAACCATAATTACTTTCACCTCCCTGCCTCTTCTCTTTCTCTTTGCTTTCATTCCATGCAGTACCCACAGCCGCACCCAGCTCTCCTGATGCTGTGGATCACTACCTAGAGACGCCTGCTGACGAATATGAACATGCCCACTTCCAGAAGGCCAGGAAGAGCCTGGAGGCCAGGCACCGTGAGAAGACATCACAGGTAGTGATGAGAAGGAGCAACATTGGAATAAATAATGAGACCAAAATAAAACTTTTTGGTATTAGCGCCACTCGCCGTGTTTGGAGGAAGAAGAAGGATGAGAACAATCCCAAGAACACCATCCCAACCGTGAAGCATGGGGGTGGTAACATCATGCTTTGGGGGTGCTTTTCTGCAAAGGGGACAGGACGACTGCACCGTATTGAGGAGAGGATGGATGGGGCCATGTATCATGAGATTTTGGGCAACAACCTCCTTCCCTCAGTAAGA